GGCCAGGAGGTGGGGGGCCTGTGGGGAAGAGGGAGAAAGGGCAACTTAGGTCATCGCCGGGGCCACTGGCCCCTCAGTCAAGGGGCCTAGAAGCTGCTGAGGTTGTAGTCGGAGGTAGGGGACAGTGGAGGGGGGCGTTGCTGAGTAATCTGAAGTGGCTGCCAGAGCGGGGCAGAGAGGCGCAGGGCTCCGTGGGGAGCGGGTGTGGTTCACTGCGCATGCGCCACAGTCCACTGGCTCTAGGAGCTGGGGATGAGGTGAGAGGACCTGGGTCTGAGGTAGTTGGGACTATGCGTGACGTTTCACTTTCTAAGTTCCCAATACTGAAGCAGTGTTCCCCTTGTGGCTATGCCAGCATTCCTGGTCTCCTAAGGACGTTTTATTAGTGTCCTGAAAACCTTTACTTCCAGGCAGCCTATTAAGGAAGACGTGGCCTGGGGACAGTGCCAAGTTCCTATCAAGTATGTCTTTGGGCTTATTGGCCCAGAACTGTTATGAGGAATGAAAGATTAGACATGCATTTCCACACTGAACACTGGGCTGCATATATGATGTAAATGCCTGCATGAAGTTAGGAATAGCATTTCAGTGGTATGACAGCTATGGCATCTAGACTTTGTAGCATGGGTGTAGCTGATAACCGAACTCTGCAAAGTAAATTGAGTGCGTCACAGGGCTTCCCCACCGTAAAACAACCCCCTTTCCAGCATCAGGTTGTATGGGAAGCAATCAACCTACACCATTTAAATTAGAGGGTCTCAAAGATCAATCATTTCTTTCTTGTGTTGATTTTCACATACATTAAAAAAGCCACACCCATTTCTCTGGTGCAGTATTTCTGAATAATATTTCAGGATTCAACAGCCAACTGAATAGCCCCAATCAGCATGTCTCCACAAGATGGACTTTCCTCATAGCTCCAAGCATGTTCCCTCCCCCGTGAAGACCACTCTCAGCCATTGTCTGCCCCCCCTTCTTCCCCCACCAAGCCCTGCAGTACACACCCCTGTCAAGACTTGCTCCTAAACAGCCTGCGCTACTGATTGTGAGCATCTTTCTAACCCATGGAAAATGAGCTGGCGCTGCCGTCATCATAATAAAATGCGTTATTTTAAAAGATTCAACCTTTCCTTGTTTTATTCTCTCTGCTCCCAATCTCAAGCACCCCCAACTAAATACCGTAATCTTAAGAAGCCTGTGTGGGTGCAAACATAGCTGATTCAAAAGATCTCAACTGCACTGAAGAATAGGGAGCTAAGAATATTGGTTATATGAATTCCTGATTCATCTTGTTATCCAAGACAACATTTGAGTCAAAGCCAGCTATTTCTCTGAATGGAACCAAAATTAGAATAAATATTACGGTCCAAGGACTGGAGGTGTAGATTGGTGTTTAAGGCACAGTGCCCTAGGTTTGATTCCCAGGGATTAAAAAAAAAATAAAAAAGAAAGAAAAGAAAAATGAATATTCGGTTCAGATCTAGCATAATATGGGAACCACACTGAATTTCACCTTCACGTTAGATATATTTGTTGTTATCAGGAAGTCTTCTCTCTGCTTAATGCTTTCTCCTTTCTATGTTTGGCCAAATTTGGCTTTTCCTGGGGGAGGGGATTTGATTTAATTGATTTTTATACTGTCAAAGCTATTTTCAATTTGAATATGCACTAACATAAATCATCCTCACCTTCAAACATAATAACAGGGATGACAGCCTCCACTGAAAACAAAGTGGATATCATTATTCTCTTGTTTTTGGTAGGAATAGAGATATTGTAGAAAATATTTATTTTAAGATGTGAGTGTAGCAATGGGGAAATGGGAAGCTTCCATGAACTTTCAACAGGTGGAATTTGTTAAGTCCTGTCTAGAAAGGAATCCAGATAAATTCATAATTTGTATTTTTAAGTTACATTGTATGTGATAACTTTTGGATGTCCTACAGGATCGTGGATGGATTGTTATAAATTCCAAGGTATTAGTTCTGGGTACCTACCTAATATGTTAAATCATAAATACTTATTGCTTATTTCTATGATGTATTCTGGGACCACATACTGAAGAGGCTTCAAAAATACACACAAGCAGAGGACCTTTAAATCAGTTGTGAAGGAAAGATATTTTTTTAAGAAGTCCGTTAACAACATCAAGCAGTGTGATAATATCAACTGCAAATAATAACTTGTTTTATTGAGACATAAAAGGTGGACTATTTCGGGGGCATAATACAATCATTTTATACAAATATATAATATGTAATGATTGGAGGGTTATAATTGCTTCCATTTCCTTAAATATTAACCATTTCTGTGTGCTGGGGACGTACATATTCTGTTTTTTTTTTTTTACTATAAAGGACTAGTGGAAAATATTTTATTTTCCTTTTCAAAATTCCCAAATAATTTTTATTAAATTTGATCATTGACTATTTATACAGATATAGAATGCATTCTGATTTTTCTCACATCCAGCACACCCTTATCTCTTTTCTATACCTGTCAAGCATTCACTCCTCTCCGCAAGTCCTATTGTCCCTGAATGGACTTGAACTCTTGTAGCTGAGTATGAGCTTGAACTTCTGATCTTCCTGCATCCACTTCCTGAGTGCTATAGTTATACATATCTGTCACCATGCCTGGTTTTATATGGTGTGGAGGGTCAAACTCAGTGCATTCAAATATTCTACCAAATTGTCTAAGACCGCGATCCTGATGCCAGCCTGGGCAACAGAGCAGGATTCTAATTTTTAACATGGAAGTTAGAAGTAGAGGAGTCGGAATAGGCATTTGAAGCCAAGTCAGCAGGATATCGTGACTAAGGGCAAGAAGACCCGCCTAAACTGTGTATCTTTCTATCTTTAGCAAATAAATGGGCATTGGAAATGGGGCAGGATGTGGAGCTGTGGAGCGGCAGTTCTCAACCTGTGGGTTGTAACCCCTTTGGGGGTCAAATGATCCTTTCAAGGGGTCATATAGCATATATCAGGTATTTACATTACGATTCAAATAGTAGCAAAATTACAGTTATGAAGTAGCAACCAAACAATTGGGCATTGGAGGGGTCACCCCAACGTGAGGAACTATATTAAAAAGTTGTAGCATTAGGAAGGTTGATAATCACTGGTGTAGAATATCCCCTTGGTAATGGTACAGCACATGGTAAGTACTCAGTTCTTTCTCAAACATCAGCAGAAGGGTTATACCAGAAGATCCTGAAGACCCCTCCAACACAGAGACTCTATGCAACATGCAGATGTTCACCAGGCATTGTTACACGCTAAAGAACAAGGAGGAACTAATAGCTCCATAAAACAAAGGAATGGTATAGCAGCAAGGAGGACCTTATTTTGCCTCTTTTCCCCATACCATATAGTTTATGTACCTAGAACTATGTGTGCACATTACGAACTAGAGAATTCTCAGATTGTTGTTAATACTCATCATTATTCCTGGAGCTGGGCATTTAGTTTCCATATTCACTGTGGTTTTGGCCTATCTAAAGAATTTATCCACAGCTAGGAAAATGGGTTAGTGAGTTATAATGGCGTTAACATCTGTTTTCTAGATACTTAAGGACATTTATTTGGTATCTACCACTTATAACAGTCATATATAGTTTATGCAAATTTTTAATTCCTTATGTTGCTTTTAAAAATGAGAGTTGAAGCGTTTTGAACGGCGAAATTATATTGCAGGCCAGCATTGAAAATACAGTATGAAGTGTTACCATAGATCAGTGGTAGAAGACTTGCCTCGCCCGCTGAGGTCCTGTGGCCTTCTCCAGCTTATCAGAAGCAAAGCCAAACAAAAAGGAGAATAAAAAACTGTGCTAACAAATCTGGTTCACCATAATTTCAAGAAATATTTGTCACGTGAGCTATAGTTCCAAAGACAGAAATTTGAAAGCAGAAAAGTGTGGACAAAAATCAAGCAAACAGAAATGGTAGAAAATTTAAGATTCTATAGAGTAGATTTAGCCTAAGAAGGAGGATAAAGCTTAGCAACTTAGAAGGTGTGGCTTCCATTTTAGCTACTGATTTAGATAGTCAACAAATACCTGATTAGCTTTGCAAAACAACGTAAGATAATTAAACAACTGAGCTGTTTTTTTAAACAGCTTCTTTATTCCTCAAAAAACATACTTAACAAGCATAGGAACTATTTGTCTTTTTGGACCACTATTTTAGTTTTTGCTTCATTAATATATGCCAAATTAACTATTAATATTAAGCGAATGTGTTTGTAGTAAGGACAGCTAAATATTAAAACCTGTGTTCAAGTAAGGCATGATTGTATGATTGTGAATACCTGTAACCTCATCACTCAGGAGTATTGAGGCAGAAGAATCAGGCCATCTCAAGCTACATAGTGAGCTCCAGACCACCTTGGGCTACATAGAGAGAACTTGTCTCCAAACCAACCAACCAAAACCTTGGTTTCAAGACCGATACTATCAACTAATGAATAAAATAATTAGCTAAGAAAGTATACTATAAGTCCATAAGCATATTAATGGTTTCTTCTCTGATTATGAGAATCAATTGCAGGCTGCCTCAAGGCAGACGGGTGGGTGCACTGGTGGTTTTTGAAGTGGGACTATTGGTAGGTATAAAGGGAAGGAAAGTTGCCTCTGATTTATCTTAAACTTCTCTGCTTTCACGCTACCAAATTTTACTTCTTGGAATATCACCTATTTGCTTTTATTTACTTTTACATTGAATAGAGCATTCAGCCGAAAGACAACACAAAACAGTTTTTTTTTTTTTAAAAAAAAATAACCACACAGAGTCCAATCAGATTAGGGTAAATTGAAGTTACACATTTAGATAATGATCACATTAAACACCTGTAACAGTTTGAGCTTTTAAGTGTGTTTGTGAGGATTGCCCACAGGTTACTTGAGATTGCTATGGGATTTCTCCCTGAATTGAATATTTTTCTTCTATAGACTCATTTCCATTTCATTATATATTATTAAAAATTTACTCCCCATTCTGATTTTAGAACCCTAATAAAAGAATAAATCAACAAGAGGGACAAGGGAGAAGGCTGAAATTGTGAAAAACCCAGCTGGGTAAGTATTTCATGAGATCATGCTATGAATTTTGATACTTTACATTTTCTTCTGTTAAAGTGACTATACTTTTAAAAATAATTCCAAAATAATGTTAAGGACTATTAAGGTTTTGAATGACCTTTTAAGTGTATTGCTGTTAGAATCTCTTTTGCATGCACTTCTTTGATCAGTATTTAGGTTTCCTTCTTTTGAGGCTCTTGCATAATAAATATTACTTTACCCAATTAATATCAGCATTGTTGAGTTTCCAGCATAGACCCAATGTGACAGCACCTAACAGAATATTTTATTTTAACATGTATTCTAAGTTGCCCATGTATAAATATTTTATGTAGGTAAAAGAAAAATGCTACATGATGATTATTGACGCTTTAGATTTTATCATAATTTTTCATATATTGTTTTGTGATAATAAAAACTAAATTCAAGAATACCATAAGGTGCTCTTTGGTTAATACCTGTTACATTGATACTAGTCAACTGTCATCAACTTAAGTGTCATTGTACCATGAAGAAAAAAATATGAAATATTAGAATATCCATCTCAATGCAAGTATAATGGGAGGAAATACTTAGAGAAAGTTGATTTTTTTCTCTTTTTCATATTCTTGGGTCCAGTCTAATTGCTACCCAGGTCTTGACTGAGAGAATCAAGAATACAGCTTGTCTACCTTCCAATAACAGAAGCAAACATTAAAACCTCAAATAAGTTTTGCATTTGTATCTCGTTTAGAAGCTAACATGCTCACACATTTGAGTGGCACACCTGTCCCAGGTTCTCTCCCCTAGAACAGTGTCACACCTGAACAAATTATGGAACCATCCATGAGTTGGCTTACTCATGGCTTTCAGCCATCCCTTGCCCAGGTAAGAATCCTCAAAAAACTAGGCCAGGTTTCCCTATTTTATCAACAGAGGTTTCTTCCTTTCCCCTTTTTAAATTTAGTAGTGATCATGTAAGATCATTATCAGGGGCCTTATAAATCAGGGGAATTTTCTGTGAGCTTGATTTGTCTCAGGTTTAACTATTTTCCTTCCTACCCTTTCATGTATTTTCAGGTTCTTTTGTTTGCAGACTTCTCCCTGTTTGGTGCTGCAGCAATGAGTGGGAAATCCCTTCTCCTAAAGGTCATCCTCTTGGGTGATGGTGGAGTTGGGAAAAGCTCACTTATGAACCGTTATGTGACCAACAAGTTCGACTCCCAGGCTTTTCACACCATTGGGGTAGAGTTCTTAAATCGAGATCTGGAGGTAGATGGACGCTTTGTGACACTTCAGATCTGGGACACTGCAGGGCAGGAGCGTTTCAAGAGCCTTAGAACACCATTCTACCGGGGAGCAGATTGCTGCCTGCTGACGTTCAGTGTGGATGACCGGCAGAGTTTCGAGAACCTTGGTAACTGGCAAAAAGAATTCATTTACTATGCGGATGTAAAGGATCCGGAGCATTTCCCCTTTGTGGTTCTGGGTAACAAGGTAGACAAAGAGAATAGGCAAGTGACGACTGAGGAGGCAAAAGCCTGGTGCATGGAGAATGGAAATTATCCTTATCTAGAAACAAGTGCCAAAGATGATACCAATGTGACAGTGGCCTTTGAAGAAGCTGTTAAGCAGGTTTTAGCTGTAGAGGAACAACTGGAACATTGCATGTTAGGCCACACCGTTGATTTGAACAGTAGCTCCAAAGCAAGTTCTTCATGCTGTTAGATGTAGGGACTCTGTTCAAAAGTGTGCAGTAAGTTGGTTAGTCTGTAGCGTAAGAACTACTGTGCCCTCTGGTGGTATTCACACACACACACACACACACACACACACACGCATGTGCGTGCGTGTGAGGGTAAAAGATAAGGTTCTACTTTTGAAACAGAACCTTTCAAATTGAAATTGTAGAGCAGTTAAAAAACAAAAAAGCTTTATTGAGCCAAGTGTATTATGCGTGATTTCTGCTATTTTCCCCTTCTTGTGTGTCTCAGGACACTTCTGACTTTAGTCCTGAGAGATTTACGTGTTTTTAAATCACAGTTTAAACCTAGAACCCAGCCGCATGAAGGAGTGAAAGAGCTTAAAGTGTTCCATTAAGTAGCTAGCAGATGCCACCACCAGACTCTTGCCAAGCAATTTATGACATTTCTAACAAAGGGAAAAATAAGATTCTGAGCTGTATTACAGCAAAAATAACAATGGAAACGATGATTTCTAAGCATGAATTAGATAAAGGTGGTGATGATTAGAAATGTAGATGTATAAAAATACACACTGACATGTTCAAATCCTCATGTATGGTTTATTCTCATATGAACCTAAGCAAAATCATCCCAGTAAGCATTGCGCTAATGACACTGGTGTTTGGTTCTAATCCATGTGTTTGAGTCACAGGACACTAGCGAATGGATTACGCTTAACTATGCCAACCCCCTCTGCAAATACTTGGTTGGCCTGCTTTTCCCTCCTAAGTCTGCTGCTGCTGCATAGAGATGTTGCTTCCTTGACAGCTTATCAATTTAGTGATGCTGCTTAGTATGTGACTTTGGGTGCAGTGCTCTCTGCCTACAATTTAGACGATCTTATGATTCACCATGCTGGCTCAGGAAGGCTCCAGAAAAGATTGGAGAGTAATGGGCTTTTCTCCCAGCTTCCTTTGCTCAGTTGTGCGTTGTAGGGGAAGGATCTGATGTCTCACCTGACGGTTCAGCTGGCCAAAGTCGGACACTAAAACTGGCAACAGAGCAGAGGTTTGTAAACTTTGGGTTAGAATGAATTTCTCATTATTAGATTTCTTCAAAAGTGAAATAGACTGCCTTAATAGTGACCTCCCTCCCAGGAAAAGTAGTCCCTGGATGAGCACCTGTTAAAATACTGTAAAAAGAATTTCTGTACTGGCTACATGTTTAGTATAAGGTTCCTCCAGGTTTAAGTTCTGAACTTACAAACGATGTCAGTGCCATGTTCTGCTTGGATTTCTCTGAAAACAATAGTTAAGACTATAGAGAGGGCCATAAAAAATCCTCAAGCCATTCTGGGAGTAGCCTTTAACAACAACCACTAATAGAAATATTCCAAAGACACAATGGTCAAAGAATGGTTTGACAATTTTTGAATACCACGACTGCCAATTATATTATTATATAATTAATATATATTAATGTATTATGAGTGTGCCATTTGGTTTTTCTGGGTTGAGCTGCATAGATTTTAATCTATGCTTTAAAACATGTATGATAAAAATTGTGACCCACTGTAGAGAGGGACAGTTAGATAAGACCCCCCCCCCAAAAGAGATTCAGGCCCGGGATGAGGTGGGAGCATTCACAGGAAGACAGCCCAGAATTCTCCATTGTAGCCACACACGGAATCAGCCTTACATGTGGGACCTTATGTGCTTTAAGAACTCTGGTACTTTTTGGCCACATAGACAAGAGGAGGACAGTATTTCAACCCAGACTTACTCAGTATTTCCAATTATTGTATAGTCCTGACCCTATTGTCCAATTCATTTAGATGCCAGAAGTCAAAGCCAGAGCTGGGACCCCCACAACTCTTAAATATTGGTCCCTATCCTGCCTATGCCTATAGCCAGCCACACTGGTTTCAATGTTCTCCAGTCATTTTGCAACAATCATGTTAGGGTGAAACTCTGTATGTCAGAACTAACAAATGGTAATTGTTTTTAAGTGCATGAGACCCGGGGCCTTCTCTTTCTACTTGCACTCTGCTTACACTAGTTTCTATTTGTAGATCTCAGGCCTTCATGAAGATCTCCATCAGCTCACGAAAACTATTTGTCTCTGTAGAGTGGCATGTGGTCATTTGAGTAAAACTAAAAGTACACGGGGATTCAATTCATAGGCATCCTGTCCATTGAGGCAAGTGTTAATTTGATTGGGAAGTAAGCTGAAGCCCCTTTCTTCGTAGCCATACATACGCCTTTATTTTTTCGCTACCAAGTTACATCACAATGTCAAGCACTTAGCAGTAAGTGACAAAACAGTGGCATTTTGATGAGTAACACTCAGTGGGTACTGACATGTAGTTTGGGTAAGATTAAAAAACACCAAAACCTGACATCTGTGGTACCAGGAACTGTGCATATGTGTTTTGAAATTGACTGTGTATGTAGAATGTGCAGTGGAATATTTTCAATAGGTGTTTTTTTACTGAACACTAGACTTTGGGAATAATGTACTTGTAATTGGAAGCATACTGTTTTTCAATGGTCCATTAAAACTCCATACAAAATATTTAGTTTCTTGTCACATATTGGCTTTCAGGGGGCCTCAGGTTCCATGTCTTCAGTGGATTGGTGAATTTCAAGTGTCTTTGTACCTGCCTCAGCCATCTCTACTTTATCCTGAGGTGTTCCACAATCCTCTTGTTGCAGGTGCTGCTAAACATCTCAAAATGTGTATAAGATATTTTGTTCCAGTTGTTTAAAAAATCATCTGTGTCAAAGTGAATAAAAAGTGCATTTTGAATAACCAAAATACAATCCTTGCCGGGTTTTATTTCTCGCCTTTTCAGTATAGCAGGTATACTTGTCAGCCAAGCCCCTCTCTCAGATGCTACCTGATGTGGTCTCTGCATCATTTTTTATGTGATACTCCAAGTGGCACTCCCTATTTATCATGCCATAGTGATAGAGAAACAAACTCAAAAGACTGGAGGTTGGAGATTCCTTTTACTTTATTTTAGACCCTTCTGCCATGCATGGAGAGTTTGGGGACCAGAAGAACATGGATCTTAATCTACTTGATTTTTAACCATAATTTTAAATGTTAAACTATTATAAAATATAAACAGAATATTCACATTGTCTTTATTTTCTTGGCTGATAAGTTGCCTAGACATTAGAAGAATATGAAATTTTAGACAAAACAGGTCAGAACACAAAAGATAGTTTTTAATTCAAAAATGTTCTAGTCTCAGGACCATCACACTTTGGGCCATTAATGTTACACTAAGCATCAAATGGCTAGAACACATCTGAGTGATTTTTTTATTGCATTTATTTGTTTATATGCGTGCATGCATGCGCACACCATAGTAGGTGTGCAGAGATCAGAGGACAACTTTCTAACTCAGGTCATCAGGCTTGGTGGCAAGTGCCTTTACCAGCTGAGCCAGTGACATTGAAATGACAAATGCAAGTCTCTCTACCATACATGGTTCATCACGTTGCTTCTATCTGCTACAGATTTAGCAGTTTCATCCATTCTACAAACTTTTGGTTATTATACCTTTGCAGAGCCAAAAATATTCATTTTTTTCTTGCTCCAGAATTATTACATCATACTTAAAATTCTACAATGATATGACTTTGAGACTATGGAAAGACATAAATTTCTCAGCAGAGTTCTTGAAACATGCTTGAGGCCTTGGGCATGATCCCCATTACTGAACAAAAAGAGGGGAGGGGAATGGATCTTGTCTTCCAGAATTGATATTTTCAAAGCGGAAAACTACCTTTCTGTCTGACATTTTCCTGCCCTAATCATTGCTTATAGGGAAATCTCCTCTTGATGTCTTCAGCCATAATATGAAGTCTCATTTGGGGAACAATAGCTGAGATTTTTCCAGAAAGATGGAGGGTATACAAGATATGGTTTCTGTTCTATCCTAAAATTGAATATTAAAAACTCTTTGGGAAACTGAGGTATCTGTTTGAATAATTTTATGATGGAACTTGAGATTGGCATATTTGTTTAATATTAACTACTTAAGGGAATACTGCAACAATATTTTTTTCAGTGTCGCCGATCTAGATAGTCCTCTCATATGTTTCTTTCCTTGCTATGGAGAGACAGGATTTGACACAGAGTGATTTTTCCCATGCTTGATTTCAGGGAAGATAAACCGTGATGCACTGCCATAGTCCACACAACAAAATGCCATATGGCCAGCGGATTACACGCAACAGAATTATTATTATTATTATCATTATTCACAGTTCTGAAGGCTGGCGAGTCTAAGACCAAGATACTGGCAGATTCTGTGTCTGGCGATTTCTCATTTACAAATGGCATCCTCTCATTGTGTGGCGAGCAGAAGGGGTCTCGTTTTAATCAAAACACTGTCCTATTCATGGAGTTAATGTCCTCACAGCCGAATCACCTCGTCAAGTCCCTACTGCCTGATACTATCATCTGGCAAGTTAGGATTTCAACATGAATTAGGGGTGAGTGAGCATAAACATTAGGATCACAGCAGACATATTAATATCTGTATATTTTGGAGTAGTCACTAATGTTCCCTTCCTCCAAGCAAATATCTTTAATTACCCTAGCTTTTCACACCAATGGAGCCTTTACTGTTTAACCTATTCTTTTGGTGTGGGGTGGAGAGGTTTGAGACAGGGTTTCTCTGTGTATTTCTGGCTGTCCTGGAACTCACTCTGTTGACTGAGCTGGCCTCGAACTCACAGAAATCTGCCCGCCTCTGCATCCTGAGTGCTGGGAGTAAAGACGTGCGCCACCCTCACCTGGCTAGTCTGCTCTTTTTAAGAGAGTAAAAGGAGAATTGAAGAAGCTAGGCATGTTTTACAGACTAGAATAAACATTATTTTTAAGAGAAATATTAGGGACTGAAGAGATGACTCAGTAGTTAAAAGTGCATGCTCCTCTTGCAGAGGTTTCCAGCACCCAAGTCAGGAGGCTCACAAATCCCTTTAACTCCAGTTCCCTGGCTATTGAAAGTCTCTGGCTTCTATGGGCGTCTGCAGTCACACGCACACACCCACAAACAGAAATACATGTATACAAACAATTTTCAAAGTACATGAAACCTAGAAGCTAAAGGCTATTCAATAACATATACTGAGAAGTTTACATACACTGATCATAATGGCATATTTTAGTTAGCTGGAGTGGCAGTTGCAGTGATTTTGGGGCAAGGCTTTTTTCCTTACAGAGTGAGAGGTTCCTTAGTCTTTTCCCTGTGAGAATAAGCTTCTCCACATGTGGATATGAGAAGCTGTCATCTTTAGTCATACAGGAACGGAAGCAGTAAACTGCCCATCTTCACAAATTGTTTTGTCTGCTCGAAGGAAACACAGAGCATTTTGATTCAGCCACATAAAAATACTTTTTAAAAATAGTGTGCTTTGTGTGTGCAAATGCATATTTTTAGGTAATCTGTCAATTCCTTTCATGCCCTGTCAACCACTGAAAAATGTGTAATGAGTCTCACTCCAGCACTCCTGAATTTTAACCAGACAACCAAGCCATCTTGTTTATTTAGAATTGGTTGATAAAAAGTAATTGGAAAGCACTGGCTAACGAAAGAAATAACTTAATTGAACATTAGCTATATTGATTGAAATAAACATTTGGATCATGACTTCCTGTGTTGCACTGGTGGGGAAGTAAGAGACAGTCTCAGATCCTCTGTCGTCCATTACATTGTTCCTGGCTGCCTTAGAAACAGCACATTTGCCCTGTAATATATGGCTTAACAGCCTAGTGATACATGGACGTGTGTTGGTAGCTTTAAATCATCTCTTTCTTCGTTCCTGGGTTGAAAATGGTGCCACCAGTGTACATTTTGAACCTTGTCTTTATAAAGTGAGAAAACCAAGGAAATAGACAAGCAGGATAAATAACATTTATTTCTAATAATATTATTCTAAGATAAGCAAATTTATCTTTGTTATGTGGTCTTTTAATATATTTACATAAAGGGAAAACTAATTGTAATACACACACTGTGCAATCTTTTTCACTTAATACACGGTGAGTATTTCCGGGCATGTTTTCTTCTAGGGATTGTATTTAATGTTTTCATGCTTTCTTTTTGAAGAATGCACTGTAAGACTTGTAGTCAGAGTGTGCCCTTTTATAAGCTAAAGGGGACAAGTAGGTTATTAATAATAAGCTTTACATCTGTGCTTATTTCTTAGAGTTAACACTTCTAGATCAAAGAATATGAATATTTTATGGCTTTTAATATGTAATGACAAATTGTCCATTAGAAAGTTGTCCCAAATTACATCAACATTAGTAGAATAAGAGACTGATTTTTCTCAAACACCCACACAAATCATCTTCTCAAGCCATATTTCTGTCAATGAAAGTAAAAACTCATGTTTGCACTTGCATTTATTATCTGAGAGTAATAACTGCACAGATTAGACTGATCATTTTTATTTTTCTTAAGTAAATGAACCATTATATTTCTTAGCTTATTTGGGATGTGGGGCATCATTTTGTTTCTTTCTTATTGTGTCTTGTTTTTGCACTGGGGATGGAATCCATGTCATGCCTACTAAGCAAATGCTCTATCTCTGAGGTTCAGTTCTCATTTTTGTTTCTTATGGAATTTGAGGGAGTCATTTTTATATTGTGGGTTTAAACCCTTGATAGCATCCATATCCTTGCTTTTTTGTAATTCCTCTCCATATTTCTCACCTTTTAATTCTGTTGATGGTATATTTCAAGTGTGTTAAAATTATTGAGAAGCTTATGTTATGATAAAATAGGAAACTATGGTAGGTGGGAACTAGGGAAATTCCTATCTTATTTCTTCTTTGCTCCAGATCGTATTGAGCGTGTAAGCACTATTTTCTTTCAGAAAGGCTGTGGGTCTTAGTATTATCAACATAATAAAAAGCACAGGCAGAAGTCGAAATACTCTTGCATCTAGATACTTCACTGCAAAGTACCAAACAGCTGGTTTGAACTGGTTTAGTTTTTGCTGGAATAGACAGATTGCTCTTAACTCACACAAATACAGTCAGTGTAACTTCAGCTTTCACCCACAAGGGGACAATATAGACTTGCCAGTGTTCTGTCATGGAAATTAGAACCCAGACTGTTAGAACTAAAGAGGCACAAAGAAAGTGCCTAGCTAACCCACCCTTCCCTTAGTTCATACATAGGAAATGAAGCACCGGACTAGTCCGATAGAAAAACAAAATGCCTGTGTCCGAGACATTTCCCATTTACAGTACCATGGCTTGGTTCAAATGACTCAAACTGTAAACAGTCACAATTGGTTTTTTTTTTTTCTGATTTGTAAGAATTGTTTTATCCTTTTTGTTGAGGCGAAGCTCACAAGAAGCATTAAATACGTAAAATACACAGCTCATTTATATTTAGTATTTTCAGTGTTGTAGAGACACAGTCTCCCCAGCTCAAATCCAATCCTGACATTCAATGGGTCATTTAGCTTATGATAATTATATAACTGTTTTCAACTGAGAAAGCGCTGTCCTTCTTACCCAGTTGGTGCGAGGATTAATAAAAATGATAGGCATGAGAGACATCAATTTTCTTATCCTTGAAGATATTAATCTGAACCAGGTATGGTAATGCATGCTTGAAATCTTAGCACTTAGGAAGTTGAGGCGGACAGATAATGAATAGGACCAGGCTGATCTAAATAGTAAAACTT